AGTCCCACATCGGGCTCCCTGCTCAGCTGGGGGTCTGCTTCTCCCTCTCCCGCTCCCCCCTCTTGTGCTCTCTCTCTCTCAAATAAATAAATAAAAAAAAATCTTTAAAAATAAATAAATAAATAAATAAAGTAAAGCTGTATCTTATCCCTTTCATTTTTCCTTCACCTATTGCTTTTAATTGCTGCAATATAAGCACTGGTTGCTCAGTCTGAGAACGAAACGTTTCTATCTTTTCAGTTCAAGCGAAATCATGTTAGTAACATTCACTGACATAATTTCTATAGCTTAATCATAACTTCCTTATTTTAAGTGGTAAAGAGCAACAACACTGTCTCTGTTTTGCACTGACAAAGGATGACACTTCCCAGGAAAGAAGTCTAATCAGCGACAATTGGTCAAAGTATTCTTTCTGCAGCTAGGAAAGAGGTTAGTATTTGAGGCCTTAAAAAAAGCCTTTTTTTAAATTTCTCTTTAGGATCAAATATAAAATAAAAGGTTGGAAATACTAAAAATGATAAAGCATATTAATGAAAAAATAAAAAAAAACGGAGAAAAGTACTAGTTAAAAAGTTTTCATCTTTCACCTTTTCACCAGCAACACCCTTGACACCAGGAATCCCAGGTACACCCTAAAAGAGGACACACAGAACATGGGTTGAATCACCTCAGTGGAGAATCTGTGAGATGCCATGCCCACTGCACACTGCCGAGGGGCTGAGAGAATCATGACAACATCAAAGCTTTAGTGTGAGGGAGATTCTTCCTAATTCCCAAATTCTGAACAGTTCTAGAACTACCCACAGTTTAGAAGGAATGGCTTTATTCTATCTGGCTTGTTAAGTCTGAATACCCTTAGGCAAATCCTACCTCTAAACTAAAGTTATTTTTCAAGCATGAATTTCCAAATTATAATCCAGTCAAGGGGAGCTCCTACCAGCATGATCCCATGTACAGAATAACAAAACAAAGACCTATTGAAACGCTAAACCTGAAGTAGAAAAACGGAATGGTAGGAGAACACTGGCTCGAACTAAAATCTGGTACTATTGGGAGTCCTACTGTTCTCTAACTGATTATTTTAAAACGTCAGATATCATAATAAATTGAGGTCAGCCCTCAAATTACCAAGTATCCCTTTATTACCTTGAAACATTTGTCTCCAAGAATACATCTGTATAATCCACGTTAACCTCTAGCCACATCAATGCAGGGAAATGCCAATTCGAATAATTCAAAATAGCACACAATCAAAAAAGTGGTATCTTATACCTCACATCGTTCCATGAGCATACTCTCAAGCCTCTTATGACTCAACTCTGCTAACAAGAACTTCAGAACTGGTGAAAAGGAGGAGGGAGTATGTGCTCCTGGCCCACAGCTCAGAATTAGTAAAAAGATAAGAAAGATTGAGTGAACTAAAGAGAGAAGAAGAATACAAAATACAAATTAAAGCTTAGTATAATTATTAGAGAAATAGTTCCTTATTCAGGAAAAAAGTATAAAATGTAAAACTGTAAAAATGTAAACTTAAAGCATCATATTTCTTCCCCAGAACTTATCAAATTATTTATTTCTCCCTAAAATTCGTATTTTCCAAATATGTAGCTAAACAATAAACATTTAAAGACCCAAATACTCACAGGTAAGCCCTGCAATCCTGCATCACCAGGAGGCCCAGGCTTCCCTGGTTCACCCTGAGAAAAGAAGTTTTTATTGCATCATCGAACATGTGTGAACTGCTGTAAGTCTTTCAAGAAAAGAAAGGACACAGGGCTTCTGCATAGAAGGATTCCCTACAGGTGACCTTATGTGCACTTTTAAAATATGATCCAGTTCAGGGCGGGGAGGGGGGGCGGTGTGAGGTGGGACGGGGGACGGGATGGGGAGGATGGACTTGGGACATAAATTTAATCAAAATACACAATCTCTTTCAACTGCTTTCATCAACAGGGCATTTCTACTGAGTTCCTAAAACCAAGTAAACAAACATACTATTCTAATAGTATTTTTGAGTTGACACTTGATGAAAAAACTAAATGGAGGAAAAAAGCCAAAACCAGCTGAGTAAATCTCCCAGTAATGTAGTAATGGAAATGCTGGGCTCAGTTGGCCAGGGCTACATAGCTACCTTTGTCCCGGGCATTCCAGGTATTCCGTCACGGCCATCCACACCTGGCAAGCCCTAAAGACACACAAAGCAACACACTGTGTCTTAGAAACAGTCGCATTCTTCTTCCCTTCATTATTTTCTAAAGTTTTATTACAAATTAATAATCACTTGGAAAAATGTGGTGGATGACTATGGCTCAGGACATACCGTGTCACCTTTGGTCCCAGGGAGGCCAGGAATTCCTCTAGAACCTTGAGGGCCCTTGCAGAGCAGAAGGGAAGGGATAGACAAGACATGCTCATTTATCACGACACTTTGGACACATCAAAGACATAAGCATAATCAGCAGAGAACACCAAAAAGCACGATGTCTGTAGTGACTGACATGAATTTGAACTCACTCTATCTCCCTTGGGACCTATTTCTCCTGGAGGTCCTCGCTGTCCTTGATCACCCTGTATGAAAATAAAATGTTAAAAATAGCAAAAGCTACTTATTGATAGACTTTTGAAACTATAAAACACCATCCATATTACCTTATTACTGCTCTTTCACCCCAATGCTTTGCTCTGTCATGGATGCCCAGCTCAAGAAATCTTTTTATAAAAATTACATTGTCTTAAAAATTTATATTGCCATAGGGATCACAAAGACTCACATGTCCTTTGATTTCATTTTAAATGTGTAAATCTTCTGTGCTCTTTGGATCCATACTGCAGGTAACCTTAACGTCAGTAACTATGTCCACGTATCAGCTAAACTCATTGACTATCATGGTGGGTTGAGGTTTGGGTCAGTTGCCCATCTTTTCTCCATATTATTTCACTCTCCAGGTAATAATAACGGTTTCTGTCAAAATTATCCAGCTAATGTTGATTTATGGTATAGAGGGTAATAGATGAGAGGATGTGTCTTCCTAAACTAGAGCTTTTGTTGAATTGCATAACTACTCTAAAACCTCAAATGGCTTCCTGTTGCTACTAGATCAGTTCAAATGGCTCCCATTAGCATTAAATACTCTCCACAACGTGATCCTACTTTATATATTCAATTTCATCTTCTCAACAGAAACTTTCCAAGCCAAGCAGTAACAGTCCCTGTGACAACACACACCCCATCACCACCAACAGTGTTCCTTCTCACCTGTGCTCTGCTGTCTTTCCCACCCAGAACGGCTTTCCAGATCAACCCGCCTCTAGGATCCTCCTCTTACATGCATTACCTCTACCACATACTCCAGTGCTGGATCTCGTAATGCATAATGTAGTTACATTTTCCCTTGAGCCATAAGAGCTTGATAGTTGGAAATTCTATTTTTCTTATACCTTTTCTACTTTTTCTGTGATAAAGGTGGTTATTAATGGGTGGCTTTTTTATTTATTTCTAGAAAATATCTGAGGCAGCCTATAATAATGACACATGTACATATAGCAGTCAAAATACAGAATAATGAGATCAGAAATCACAGAAAAGGATAGAATTACCCAAGAACCTGAAATGAGACAGTTACTGTGGACTCTAAGCATCCTGGCAGCCAAAACAAAAGGAAAACACAGCAAACATAAAAGCTTAACAATTTGGGGTGCCCGGGTGGCTCAGTCATTAAGCGTCTGCCTTCGGCTCGGGTCATGATCCCAGGGTCCTGGGATCGAGCCCCGCATCGGGCTCCCTGCGCCGCAGGAAGCCTGCTTCTCCCTCTCCCACTCCCCCCTGCTTGTGTTCCCTCTCTCACTGTGTCTCTCTCTGTCAAATAAATAAATAAAATCTAAAAAAAAAAAAAAAAAACTTAACAATTTGACTTCACCTATGTGAAAAAAAACCCATATCAAGTCAAAAGAACATTTCTCTTTATTCAAGGAAGTGATGCTTATCTTAATTAAAATTTGTTTAAATATAAAAACTACTGCCAATTTTACCACTTGAATCATTCACATGTAAAAGACATTTGCATGCAGACACACACACACACAGAGCAAATAATCTATCACTGATCATTGCTAAATAATCTATCATTGGGTCTTGTAAAAGGAAAACTACTTACAGGTGCACCAGGAAGACCTTGAGGCCCAGGTTCTCCATCTAAGCCCCGAGCACCCTGCCAAAAAACAAGACGAAGAAATGAAATTGAGATCAGTCATTAAAAGGCACATCAGTCTTTCCATAGAACATTAATAGCCAGATAAAAAGGAGGTTTTGTGTCTGTAATATATACTGTATTCATCGGTGAACCCCAGGGAGTATTCAATTGGACACCTCAGATATGAAAACACTAGTTTACATCTCCTCATCCCACCAAGAGTACTGATGGCCTATCTTTGATACCACTCTGGATATTTTAACACTACAGCCATCCTTGATTGATGACATGAATTATAAACACTGGTACCTATTTTGAGAAGTTGGCAAACCTATCAGAGGAGGTTTAGGAGTCCCCTCCGGGGTTCTCAGGATTCTTATGGCTATTCATTAATGGTGAAGACCAAGGAGCCACCCAAAGAACAGAAAGATTGCCATGGACTGCTGCTGCCACAGCTGTGAGTGGGATTCTGTGACACTGGATTTCCACCAAGATCCAGAATCAGAAGTCCAGCCATGTGATTTAGAAGAATGAATTGTAATAAGGATTTGAGTAGCGGGGCGCCTGGGTGGCTCAGTTGGTTAAGCGACTGCCTTCGGCTCAGGTCATGATCCTGGAGTCCCGGGATCGAGTCCCGCATCGGGCTCCCTGCTCGGCAGGGGGTCTGCTTCTCCCTTTGACCCTCCTCTCTCTCATGCTCTCTGTCTCTCATTCTCTCTGTCTCAAATAAATAAATAAATAAAATCTTTAAAAAAAAAGGATTTGAGTAGCCCCCATTCCATTCTAGATAGACATTAGGTTTGGTTAATATAAAAATAATCCATCTATTTTCTTAACAATAGATTCACCCTACCAAGAGATGGGAACTACAGAGCTTTATAAATCTAATTATCTTGAAATCAATGGTGACTTGGTTATATTGTACATATCACCTCCTTATTTAATGATAAGAATCAAAATGTGATCTTAAAACAAATATATCAGGGTTTCTTTAGTGCTTCCTGCATACGCTACATGATAAAATACAACCCCCTTCTTTAAATCTTTTTCTCATCCGCTAAGTGAATGAGAAGGCAGAAGGGTGACTGAAGTCAACAGGCCATCTCCTAATGAATAGGGTTGAGATAAGGAGATGATAAAATAAATGGAAAACAGTCAGAAGAGTGCTGGATGGATGTCAGGCCAAGAAAACCAGGTGGACAGCATCTGTAGTAAGAATTAAGAATTAGAAAACCTTTGATAGAAGGTTCAGAAAAGGCAGAATCAAAGAAAGAACACAACTGAAGCAGAGGCACCACAGAGACTTGAAATTCTTTGATCCCTAAACACTAGAAGAGAGCAGAAAGCATTTTACATTCACCAGGGAAGAAGAGGTTTGGAAGACCCAAAAAAGACCTTGAATTCATCATTCACCCTGCGTTGTGAGAGCGGAGTCCGGCCTTTGCATTATAGAAATGGCTGTGATACACTCACTCTCTCTCTTATTGCTGTTCAGCATGAGCTCAGTCCCAAAATGCTGTTACTAGGCAACCACTCCAGGGGTCTGAGTTCATGAGAAGAGCTTGCTTTCTTTTTCTTTTTTTTTCTTTTTTGTTATTGAAAGCAATTTGACAGAACTCAAAGGAAATGAGACATTTTGAAAAATGCCAATTAAAAAAAATACTTCAAATAAAGAGCATATCAAGAACAGTAATTGGTTTCAAAGTGTGGGGTCACATATTTTAAATGATTTAAACCCAGAAAAAGCAAAGGCTGAGGTATCAGCAACTTCAAAATAAATGGGATTTATTATTTAATAACAGAAGAGATACACACAGAATGTTACTTAAGGTAACATGAATATAGAAATATGAAGCACGTTTTTTTAAAATACAGTGTTTTTAGAAAAGAGGTATTCTGGAGGAAATAGAAGAGTAAAACAGACAGAATGAGAATACCTAGAAGGGACAAAGAGGCTGAAAAAAAAAATGAAGTTGAAGGAATTGGTCACAACATAATTCCTTCAATTTCCAAAAATGTGCATTTCTTTTAGAAAAATTTGATTTATGGAGCACCTACAATGTGCAAGTTATTCCTGCTTAGCTGTTAATAAAAGTCTCTGCTTCTGTGTGAAATGACACAAATTAGCCATAGAAGTTCTAAAGAGAAAGAGGCGAGGGTCAGAAGTGGTGGCAGGCAAAGTGCTTTTTTGTTTCTCCTGGAACCTACAAATTGGCTTTCCTAATATACTCTCTAAGTGGTAACCATTTTCTTAAAATCTGATAGAAAAGCTAGACACAGCCTTATACACACACACACACACACACACAGTGAGAAAAACATTTCTGAGCACATCAGGAATGTCCAGGTTTCCACTGTTTCTGTTTATGATATTCAGCCAGCCAAGCATTCCCCATTCTCCATCCTCCACCAGTGGGAACATGTTATCCTTCTAGGCCTGGCATCCTTCTAATGTCACCTCCTCCATGAGCCCTCCCAGTTCCCTGATCAAGAATAGCCAGCACTCCTTCGTCTTCAGTCCCTTACTCTACTTGCCCTCAAATTTACGTGTCTCTTGTTTACACTGTAGTTAGCTATCTACTCGTTTGTTTCTCCCAATAAATAACAAATTTGAAGTCCTTATTACCCTTTGAATCTCCCCATCATCTCACGGTGCCTTGCTATGGAAATGGTAGGAGAATCTGGCTTTTGAGACTGGGCTAAGGACAGGTTGGTAAATTGGCCACAAGTGTATGATCCTTGTTGAGGACAGAGCTCAGCAACCAGCCTGGAGGGAGGGCCATGGGTGGCCCTAGTGTCCCTGGGGAGATCCTGCCTTCTCTTACCTCTCCCTTTCCATCCTCCCTTGTATTTACTTTGATTTCCAGATATTGTGTCAGTGCTATCAGTATTAACTATTGGTAATGATAAAGAAATACAAATGTAACATCCCTCGTATTCCTATCTACCCAATATAATTTAAAATATATAATACATAAGTATCATACATACCTACTCATTTCTGTCATCTATGTTTATAACAGAAATGTGAAAACCTAACAAAACATCTACAAAGCAAATAAGAAATTAAAAAATGATGTTGCTGAAAATAAGATATTTTTAAATGGGCAAACAAGTATTTTTACATTTTGATATCATATCATCATCATCATCATCTTACTTTTTCCCCTTTGGCCCCAACTATGCCCATAATGCCTCGTAATCCTTGAGCTCCCTGGAAATATAAAAAAGAACGGTGAATTTTTTCAGCTGAAGCACACACTTGTTTATCTCATCACAAAAGTTCCTCCAGAAGCATGTTAACATAACTAAAGGTAACAATAAGAAATAGTGACATTATGTAAACAAATGTTTCTAGTTTAGAAAGAAAAATCCAAGGAGAATTCTTCTGATGGTAAACACTCTTCTAAAACCCTGAAGATGTACACAAACCTGGAGTTGGAGCAATTAACTGATGACAAGAAAGTAAACATCATTAGCTTAAGAGAAGTACAATCATGTATTTTGACTTACTTTTTAACTTAGGTACAGAATACACTGCCATCTCTACTTCCTTCATGATTTGTAACTTGGTTACACATAAGATGGTTGTGATTTTAAACTTTGTAATGATTTTTCCCCACCAATGTATGCCATCAAAGGCCATTCAGTTTCCAGACTAGTCCACAAAAGCTTAGGACCTGTAAATGGAGCTGAAGTCTCTACTAACCACTAGGAGTCACTACTCATTACACCATCTCTATGATAGAGGCATTCTGCATTCCCACCTGGGGCACAACGAATCCATCTCACCCCATCTCAGGCATAGGAGTGGGTAAGCCTAAAAATAAGGATGTGAGTATGATTTCTAGAATCTTCTTCAATACTGAAATGTCACCATTCTCCATTCTCTGGCCCCACAGGAGCAGGGCTCCAGGTGTGGATCCTGTAAAGGGGGAACCTGGGTGCTCTCTTGGGAGGAGCAGCAAGTGGATGCTCCTTCAGGAAGGAGTGGCCACTTCTGAGCAATTTGCTAACTGGCTTAAGATCAAGTAGCTCTTGGCCAGTCATTCTCTTGTGTTCTCCCTTGGAGAAAATGGGGCAATTCTCTGGCCAACCCTGCCTGCATCTAGATAAGTCACAAATTCTGTGTAGATCAGTTAGGAATGACCAGAATGTGTAAGATGATCCAGCTTAGGATAACCACTTGGGATATAAAATGAGAAATGGCCATTTCAGATTAAAACTGCTCTTTCTGAAGATAATTCTACAAAAAGAATTCCAAAAATATTTGAGCCAATGGAAGTGACATGAGAATGCCATGGATTATCTCTTAAGGTGACTACTTTGAAGGACAGAGCTTATATATAAATGTTCCCCAAAGCATTTTTTTTTAAATCTGTGCATTACTTTATAGATGCACATTTAAAAAGTGAGCATTTGTGAAGTTTATAGAAACATTTTGGCAAGCCTACTGCCAAACACCAGAAGGTCAGCAAGCACTAACGATAGCCCCCAATGGACCACTTGAGCCATGCAGAACCCAACAGATATCCTTAATCCATGAAAATATTTTTAAATGCTGCTTGCAAAATCCTGTTCTCAGGATTTGGAGGGATAGCTTTAAAAATAACTTTAAGTCCCCACTAAATTTTCATCAGATCAAAAAAAAAGCATACATCTCTTACACTATTGCTATCTCCCTCCTACAAAATAGAGTCCATCTCCTTATTGTCTCCTTTCAAAGGCTCAGGGAAGACAATCTTCTGAAATAAACACCTCGTATTCCTCCAGGTTTCCTTAAAGTTCTCATGTGGCTTAAAAACAAAGGCCATTCTTACAAATGCTCAGACTCATTTACTTTAGCTGGAATTTCCTTAAACTCTGGGGTAAGTACTAATCTACACAGCTCCCTGAACTCTTTCATAAAAAGCCAGTTGTTTGGGGAAGAGAAGAGAAGGACAAGGAAGGATGGCCTCATATTTGTCCTCCCTAACTCTTTAGTTCCTGAGAATAGGACCTGAGCGTGTCCTTTACATAGTAAAGGCCTTGGCTAGCTGCAATGTTCAATGGATATTCAGAAATTATTATTTCCATAATTGTTAACTACTCATCTTGACAAGAAAAAAAGTGTGACAATTCTACTTTCATATACAAAAGTAGTATAAATTTTGATGTAGCAAACACTAAATTGAAGTATGCCAATGCCCCAAATTACCTCATTGTGCATATAATTGCAGCAATCTGCCAAAGCACAAGGGACTAACTTTTTATTAAAAGACATGATTACAAGCTATTAAAAATGTTCTAATTATAATGATTACATGCTGGCATAAGGTACTTAAATCCAGTGGATGATGTACCTGCTGTATATTCAGGGTACATGAAATTTTCTATATCATGTGAAAGTACCATAGAATATAAAATATATATATCAACCTCTTGTGTTCAATATTTACTTTCAGATTGCCTAGCCCTGAAATCTAGTAAATGAATGTATGTAATTATAGGTAAAATTTTTCTGTTAAAATGGTGCTTGAATATACAATGGGGATCCTTTCCTATTTTGAAAAAATGGAAATCTCCCAATGCTGGCTTGGTGGGAAAATATGTTAATGTAATACTACTAATCCAAATGCTAAACAGGAAATATTCCAAAAGTCACGAAAAAAGAATATTTGCATATCCTAGTTAAATATTTTTTTAAAATACTTTACTGGAGGTCCTTGAGCTCCAACTTCTCCTTGTTCCCCCTGGTCACCTTCTTCACCCTAATAAACAACAGAAAAGCACACCAAATGTTATTCCAGCAAATGAGCATAGATAGATGACTCAGCACATTTGAAATTCACTTGGCATCCCCTGAGTTATGTTACTATACTTTCTTAAATTAGTTTATATGAGTAATCCATATTAATTGTAGGACATAGAAAATACAGAGAAATATACGAATAAAGTCACCCAAAGCCCACCTTTTAACTATAAATACCAGTAACATCTTAGATGCTTCTCTATAATGGGGTCATGGGGAAGGAAAGGACAGAGAGAGAACATATATACATTCATGTTCCCAGTGTGTGTGTGGGGGGGGTGTTATTAGGAAAATATGATCATGCTATGCAAACTTTTCCATCAACTACAATATTATTTATTTGTGATTTTCACTTTTAACTTTTCTTATAATTTTTCTACCAAAACAATTTTTTAAAAGTATTTAAATCAGTCTTTCTTTTCTTGGCTTGTACCTTTGATGTCACCCACAGAAAAGCTTTCTCCATATCCAAAATATATAAATATTCATATGTATTTTTCTTCTATAACTTCATAGTTTAATTTTTTACATAGAAATCTTTAATTGATTTTAATGTAAAATATAAAGTAGAAATCTATCATTTTTGGAGGTGGGTGGGGTGATGGGGTAACTGGGTGATGGGCATAAAGAAGGCCATGTGATGTGATAAACACTGGGTATTATATGCAACTGATGAATTATTGAACTCTACATCTGAAATAAATGATGTACTATATGTTGGCTAACTGAATTTAAATTTAAAAAAAGAAATCTATCATTTTTTTTTCCTGGTAATTGGCCACTTTCTCTAATATCATTTATTGAATACTAGATTCTCTCTACATAGACTGGAAAATTCTTCTTTAACATATAGTAAATTGTGAAATATACTCATTTCTAGATTTCCTACTCTGCTCTTCTCATCTGTTGTATGAATTTGCCAATACCACATTTTAATTATTGAAATTTTATAATACATCTTAGTCTCAGATAGAGAGAATTCCTTTAGCTTTATTTTTCATTTATGGTTACTCTTATTTTTCAGTTTTTCCTAAATGTTTACTCTTCTGGATGCACTTTAGAATTATTTGGAAAATCCTCACAAAAATACTACTTGTTTTATATTAGGACTGCACTAAATGAAAAGATTAATATGGACAGAATTAGATTCTTTACAATACTGAGTCTATCTTGGAACTCAGTGTATCTCCCTAGTGAATCAAATCTTTTTCTTTCCTTCAATAAAGCTTTGCTCTTTTCCTCATATTAGTCTTGAATATTTAAGTTTGTTCTAAGGTATCTTTACTATTTGGTAGCTATTGCCAATGGAATCTTCTTCCATTTTGTTTTCTAACTAATTATTGTTTGACTTTTTGATATTAATTTTATAACCTCTGATATACTTTAAAATGTTAGTATATATAATTTAGTATATTTAAAATGTTAGAAAAGAAATACAACTGCTGTTTCTTACAGAAAGATTACTTGACTGACTCTGAAAAAATGTTATTTTTCCCTCTGACAAGGTTTTTTTTTTTTTACAGAAATATACTGCCTTACATTTCCTATGGTAATGGATATCTTAAATTGTAAAATTAATCATGAGAAAAATTCATTTTAATATTATGTGCATAATATTAGATAAAAATCTATTTCTGTTGTTTATTACATATTTCAATTCATCCATGTTCTTTCTCTACAAACTATACCTTATAGAGATTGTCACACACACACACACACACAGAGAAATACAGAAAATTGAACAGCAATATTAATATAGAACTTTTGGGCATAACTGCAAAGAACTAGGTTATGCCTAAATCATTTATACTTGACTTTTGAATCAATTATGAGAGTGTTACATAGTGGTTTCACTCTCATAATTTTATTCAGATTATATTCCATAAGAATATATGATTGACAGCGAGGAGAGGCAGTCCCAATGGGAAAGCCAGTGAATTAGCTGTTTCAAGGAATGGATAATCAACACATGTGTGTAATTAACTGCTATCTCTATGTCCCTGCCTAACTATCAAAACAACAGTGATTGATATGTGCACAGTAAGTTTTCATTAGCAAAGTTTGGGGTACAGTAAGTTTTCATTAGCAAGGTTTGGGGTATTTTCCTACAGATTCCAGGATAAACCTTGGAGTAATATAGTTGATTTAAATATTTTACCAGTAGATGAATAGCACACAACTAATCAATAACCACAACATAATGACAAATTTAGGAATAGAAATTTATTATCATTTTACTGAAAGACTTTTGACTGTTCATTCCTACATCCATAAACAAAATTTAAAATCTTCATTAACTAATTTGTAGAGTAAATTCAAGGCAGAATTGTGAATCCACTTTCAGTTTACAGTTCAGTGCATCTATTACACTTTTAAGTTTCATTCTTCAATGAACTATTGTCATCCTATCTTCCCATATAAATTTTCAAAGACACCACTGAAAGGTGTAAGTGACACAACATGTGAAATAAATTAAAGGAGTGTTCAACAATGACCAATAAAATTTTGGCCAATTATCTCACACACCCAAACAATTTTCAGGTTCTTCACTGAAAATCAAGTTAGTATAGGTATCAATAATATTAGTTTCTTGGAGAGAGGGGGGAAAATACTCTAATTGACAGCTCCATCCCCAAATAGAGTTGTAAAAGTTCCCCCAAAGAAAAGGGGGAAAGAAGGAAAAGAGCATGGCATCAAAAATAACACTAAAAGAAGAAGGAAAAGAACACTTCACTAAAAGAAGAAGGAAAAGAGCATGGCATCAAAAATAACAGAAGTCTACCATATCTGCTTGACTACATGCATTAACTCATGAATATCTTTTGGTATAATGTAATATCCTTACACACCTTTTTCTGTGGTTAGATAATATTCTATTATATTAGAATATTATCTAAGATATCTAGGATATGTCATACTTAATTTAGCCAGTCTCCTGTGGGAGGACATATTTTTTTCACTTCTGTGCCCCTGGCACTTAGAATAAACCCTGGCATACAGCAGGTACTTAATAAATATTTGTTGAATTTTTTTAACTATGAATTTCAAGATTTAATGGGGGAATGAGCATGCAGAAAAATTTCTAAAGTACTCAACTTTTTTCTACTTTCTCCAATTTGACATTAAGAACCCAGCTGTTACATTCCAGATAGATAAAATACCTTAATTACTCAGGGCCCAAGTAATAAAAGACTAGAAATAAATGTCCAAACTGTAATAGGGTCGAGAAAATTGGCTTATTTATCCTGATTACCTCAGGTTGTTCAACAGACTGATTTTAGCTAGAGTTCAAGGATATTAATGCCTGACGATATAATAAATTTCCTCTCCAGTTCTTAACTTCCAAAGAAAAAGACTAAGTTTCTGTCTCCGCCCAATAAACGTATAGAAGGGCAGAGTCAACAAAGTCTAGAAAACCCACATTAATAAGAACAGTTTGACTTTGTAAAATATCACAGAATTAACAGGGACAAAACTTCTGTTATGCAGGAAGTCAAATTCTTAGACAATTTACACCAGTGGATTTAAAAAAAAGCAAATAATTCATTTTACTTCACATTTTTGCCTTGGTTTTTCTGCAAGGCACGCCAGCTCCAAAGCAAGTTGTGCTATGGATTCCATGTTTCTATCCAGATAATAACAATTCTATCACTCACTTTCGAATTACTCAAAATCTAAATTCTATTGAAATGGAGTCAGAAACAGACAAATTATTTCAGAACTTAAGATGAGAAGCTATCAGCTCTCAACCTCCTGTTTGCTAGTGTCAGCAACACTTGTCATAAAATTTTACAAATGTCATAAAATTTTGTTTAGTGCAGTGGAAAATCTAGCTGAATAATGTTTGACTATCAAAAGCATCAAGGAAAAAAAGCTGAGTGTGATTGATTTCAAAAGAAAAGCAAGGAGCAACAACACAGGAAAGAATGAAATGTATGGTGTATTATTGTTTCTTGTAATTGAACAACATGAGAATATTATGCTTAGTCAGAATATTGATGCAGGTACTGAAAACCTGTCAATCATCATTTGAAAAGGAAGGATAAAATCTCATGCTTTCTTATTCCTTAAAATTCCTTGGAATAAAAGCAATCACTACCTCCTAATCATAGTTTACCCACTATATACTCATTTTTCTTACCTTGTGACCTTGTCTTCCAGGTTCACCAATTTCTCCTTTAGCCCCTTTATGACCCTAAAAATGCATAATTAACAAGTAAATAAATTAACAAATTAAAAAATAATTCTATTGGGTTTGTCACAGAAAGTGGTCAAAGGTTCAGAAAGTGATCTTGCTTCCCTAAATCTGTGTCAGTGTGCTACCCAGAAAAAGGTTATGTCACAAAGAAAATGACGCCTTCAATGACCTTAATACTGCCACGCGTATTACATGACTAGTGTATATGATAAATATTAACTCCTAGTTAATAGAAAACCACTGTTCTAGAATAACAAAGCTTCATTACCCAGTTCGGCAACATGATGTATTACCAGCTGATCCCTAGATCCCTCTGTCCCAAACTTCCTCTCACAGCTGGGTTAAGAGCTTTAAGCCTTCTCCAGCATCAGGAACTTTTTCCTCAAAGGTGACAGTCCTGACCGAGCTCAGCTGGCTATCCCCTGCTCTCTCCATGCTGCTCCGAAAACCCTTCTGCCTCCTCTATACTCACCTCCTTCTTGGTGGAAAAAGAGCTGATATAAGAAAGGCAGCTCCCCAGATGCACGACTTCCACCTCTTCTTGTACACAATTACAAATGCAAAGGGAAAGCCCTAAAGGGCAGTCCGTGAAAGCTGCATAGCATGAGGAGAAAATCCCTCTCTTCTTGTCGGGCCACTAGTTCTAAGCATGTGTGTGCTCTGGGTGGTAACATGAGGCAAATGGGAAACGAACATTCCAAAATTAAGTCTATCAGAGCTTTCACCCTCGGAGAATTTCTTGTTCTGACAGTGTAGGTCTTGGTGAAAAATAAGACACCAGTCCAGGACCAGGGGCGCCTGGGTGGCTCAGTCGTTAAGCATCTGCCTTCGGCTCAGGTCATGATCCTGGGGTCCTGGGATCGAGCCCCGCATCGGGCTCCCTGCTCCGCGGGAAGCGTGCTTCTCCCTCTCCCACTCCCCCTGCCTATGTTCCTGCTCTCGCTATCTCTCTCTCTGTCAAATTAATAAATAAATTCAATCTTTAAAAAAAAAAAATCCAGGACCAAATCTTCTGCAGTTGTGAGAACCCACTAAACCAACCTTAGAGAAAACCATAATTGGAAAACCAGTGCCCTGGGGCCTTTCAGATCATAGCAGAACTCCTCTGGTCTGGAATTTTCAAAATCACTTCAGACCTCATAGACTAGAGAGAAAAAGCCACTTAACCCCAACATTTGGTATTTTTTTATGGGAAATTTTGAAGCAATTATGATATAGAGTGAGAGAAAAACATTTTGGGGATGTCTCTTTTCTTGCCTATTTTGCACTGTTTTCCCAATTTTTTAACTAAAATAGTTTCAAATACATTATGTGTGCGATTACTCCCCAGTCTTCCTGCATAGGAAGCAAACTTCGGAACCTTAATTTGGTGTTATAGCGTCTCGAGCCAGTACATTTTACTGGTATTTCCTCCCGGAACAAGAGAAGTATCGTGTAATCAAACATCCATGTCTCCGTGTACCTGCCAGGGGAACCAGCTGGAGTTTCTAGGACTGAAGAAGGACCACAGACTAAGCCGAAGAATAAGCAAACACAGACAGGCCTAATCCATCAAAATGGGGTCTTGCACCAGAAAGGACGTGCTTACAGGAAAGGATCTATTTTTTTTCTATGGATAATACTCTTGAATATAAAATACTGAAATTATTCTCTCACCCTCATGCCTGGTAAGCCTGGATATCCTGAGCGACCTGGTGGACAGGAATTGGGACACTGCCAAAGAGAGAGAGGTAGAGAGAGCATAAATTAGAGCCCCCCTTTATGACAAAATGGTACTGTTTTAGGGATTGCAGCTTCAGAACCCCAGTATAATTATATTCATTAAATAAGTCTGAATATCCCTTTTTTTCAATATTTCATTTTTAAACTCAGAAATATTCCTAGCTTACAGAAAAGCACAGAGAATAGAACAAGCTTCCCCCACGTGTTCACCATCCAGATTTAATAAATGCTAATATTTTTGCCATATTTATTTCAGATTTATTAAAGAAATAAAATGTTTCCAGACCTAGTATACCAAATTCTTCCAACTTAGTGTACCACAACCTGATCCTTTCCTTCTCCCACTTCCACCAGAATAGCTCTATCCTGAGGCCCACAAAACCCTTGTCAAATTGGCCAAAATTGCACTTAGTACAGTTTCCCAACATCGTTTGAATATTAGGCTATAAGTAAAACAAGTCTCAGAGGGAGTTGTTTGACTTCTAGCTCCTGAAATTGGGGTGCTCTGGTGAAAACGATGCCGTAGTCATAAAGTAAAAAGACTAGGGAAGAGCAAAAACAGGGGCACCTGGGCGGCTCAGTCAGTTAAGGGGCTGCCTTCGGCTCAGGTAGTGATCCCAGGGTCCTAGGATCGAGCCCCACATCGGGCTCCCTGTTCAGCAGGGAGCCTGCTTCTCCCTCTGCCTGCTGCTTCCCCTGCTTGTGCTATTTCTCAATCTCTCTCTGTCAAATAAATAAATAAAATCTAAAAAAAAAAATTTCCATAATGAAAACCACTTATACAAACCACCAGCCCACTAGTGCAATGGACTGCTCTGCTACCCATGTAAAGTAAAACACAGAAATACAACATATTTCAGCAAGATAATTTTAAAGAGAACTCATCTGAAGATTACATTGTCTTTGACTTAAACTGTGTTTCGTTCAAAGGTAAACATCTTACCAATGGATCTCCTTCATGAAAGCCAATTGTTCCCTAAAGTAAAGAAAATATTAAAGTTAAGAATATAGCTAAATACCGTATTCAAACCTACTTATAATAGAAAGTCCACTGGACAAAAATATAATAAAAATATTTGTTCAATAGAATATAAGGAACAAATAGCAACATATAATATGCTAATATTCTTAAACTTTGACTCATGGGCATATTCCTTTTGGAGACCCCTCTTTCAGGGAGCTGAAAAGAACTGAAATGAGAGACAGAATAGATAATATGGGGAATTCTGGACCATACATCTAAAATATGAGTTATCAGGGCGCCCTGTCAGTTGAGCATCTGACTCTTGATTTCAGCTCAGGTTGGGATCTCGGACCATGAGATGAGCCCCGCTTTGGGCTCCACTCAGTGGATAGTCTACCTGAGGATTTCTCTCCCTCTTCCTCTACCCCTCCCCCGACTCATGTGCTTTCTCTCTCTTTCTCTCTCTCTCAAATAAATAAATACATCTTTTAAAAAACTGAAAAGAAATAAAATGTGGGTTATTTCCTACTTAAACTCCTATTTTTTAAATTGCTTACTGTGTAAATCCTTTGTAAACATTAGTTCATTTGAAAATGTCCCTTTTATACAGCCAAGTTTTAAGCATTTGCGAAATCACAAATGTCAAAGGACTTCAAATATATGAGTAAGCCATGCCCTGAGAAAACCACCTTTTAAATCATTGTTATTCCTCTATCCTTCTGGCCTAAAAAGACCCATGCCCTGAATGGGTGAAAAAATTGATAGCCATTTTGGAATTTTAGAACGATGACTTGATTAACAAGTACTTCCATTTTTGGTTCTTAGGTTTCTTTAATCCTAACTCTCAGATACAAGAAAATTCAAGCTGCAAATAACTTACACTGGGTCCCGGGGGGCCAGGGGGGCCAGGTGGTCCTCTTCTCCCAGGGTCACCCTAAGTTATTTGAAAATCGTGACACAGTGGTTATACACATGTCAAAACACAGTGCATAAAACTGGTGAGGCATGAGAGAATATTACTAGAAACCCCCACAGAGCTCAGCCATGCATAGACCTGCCACGAAAATCGATGGGTGGCCCATAATCCAATTAGCTCCACAAAACCAGAAGAATAAAGGAGCTCCAGTCTCACCAAAGTAATAAAACAAGGCAGGAGATTTGGGGGGAAAAAACAAAGCCAGTTCTTCTCTATAGAATGATCACTTTATTCTAAAAACAAACTGGCAACACTACATATTTTTCTCGTTGATTTAAGAGAAACTGGAACAGCCAGTACTGCTAGTGCTATCCAGATAATGGTAGCAAAAGAAGGCTTGCACCTGGCCCGAAGCTTTGGGAAGGAAGGTTAATCTCTGCAATGCCCGACTCTCCCTCGTACTGTTTACCCACAAGCTATTACTTGGCCTGTCACCGTACTCTTCTGCAAATGGGACTGAAGATCAAAGATGGCTAAATTCAAATGAAAATGGATTTCGGGCGCCTGGGTGGCTCAGTCGTTAAGCGTCTGCCTTCGGCTCAGGTCATGGTCCCAGGGTCCTGGGATCGAGCCCCGCATCGGGCTCCCTGCTCCGTGGGAAGCCTGCTTCTCCCTCTCCCACTCCCGCTGCTTGTGTTCCCTCTCTCGCTGTGTCTCTCTCTGTCAAATAAATTAGAATCTTTAAAAAAAAAAAAAATGGATTTCAATTTGTCTTAACATCCAGAGTTTACTCCTTGCATACCTTTTCCTTCTTAATATTCTACCATAAGAAGTCAAAAGCATCTTATAATTAATTTAACCTTACAACCATTTCAGGTTTATTCATCCATTCAGTGAATAATTTTATCAAATCGTAAGACATATAGAGAAGCAAGAATAAGTACATAACACATGGCTCCTATTCTCAATGCGTTTACAATCATCTATCCTCCACATAATGTCACTACTTCTCAACATCCTTGAAATATTTATTGGATAGTAACATCAAGAACTTATTACCAGCAATTTCTCCTATGGAGTTCAGCTCTTTATTGCCTAATGTTAAGTTCTGTTGGTTCAATTATAATTTAATGATCCTAACATAAATATACTTGGCAATAATTTTTGGATATTCACTTTTCATTTCATGCAGTTAGCCTAATACAAAAGACACTGGACCTTATTTCTGGCTGAGAGTCTATTAGATGGAGGTGACACCCTTTTGACTGATCACTAATTCTAGAAGTTGGGAAGAAAAGTTTAGCTGATAACTTTGGGAAAAAAATTAAAATCACCCTACAAAAATGAGGTAACATTATTATCCCTGGTTCCCATCAATATTATGAACTGGAATGAAATTCATCTGCCATTTTTTGGATTTGCAGGGGAAAGCATACAGTTAGGGCAATTTGCCTTCCTGAGTAATGTCTTCCACTAAATCAGCAAATGTCTATCAAAATGCACTGCAGTACTCACAACTGGTCCAACACGGCCAAGCTCTCCAGGGAGTCCTGCTGCCCCAGGAGGACCCTGTATGTATATATGCAATGGAATATTACTCAGCCATAAAAAAGAATGAGATCTTGCCATTTGCAACAATACAGATGGACCCAGAGGGTATTATGCTGAGTGAAATAAGTCAGACAGAGAAAAACAAACACCATATGATTTCACTTATTTGTGGAATCTAAAACACAAAACAAGGAAGCAAGCAAACAAACAACAAAAAAACCAAACTCTTAAATACAGAGAACAAACTGGTGGTTATCAGAGGGGAGGTGGGTGGGGGTACAAGGTACAAAGGTACAAACTTCCAGCAATAAAACAAATAAGTCACAGAGACGAAAAGTATAGCATAGAGAACATAGTCAATAGGATGGTAATAACACTATTCGGTGACAAATGATGACCACATTTATTGTGGTGAGTACTGAGTAATGTAGAGAATTGTTGAATCACTATATTAGACACCTGAAATTAACATAACACTGTATGCTAATTATACTTCAATTTTTTAAAAAACATAATTATAAATAAATAAAGGGACATGGTGACTTATAGGTGGTTTTATAATCTATCATAAATCATATCAAATATGGTAAGTAATTGATTCAGGATTACGTATCTGTGCTAGCTTTGGTTTCCAATGACACAATAACTCATTTGACTAAATTTTAATTACTTAAAATGGAACAGAAATTTCTAAAATGAATAAAATTTTTTGTTTAGCCACCTAAGGTCATGTATGTAGGACACTATAAATACCATGGGTAGTGTCCGTTGGCGAGTAAGCTTGGGAGCTGAGAAATAGGCCATTGTTACAGACTTAGGTAGAAATAAACCAAGAGATGATACTTACAGGGGGCCCAGGAATACCACGGCCCTAAAAGGTTAAAACAAAAATTGTTATGGTATGTGATTTAAACTTAATATAAATATAGACAGACATAACTCAATTCAAAAAAAAAGTATAAACTTTGTCACTAAATAAATATATGATGCTCATTCGAAAGAAAGGACTGGATAAAGAAAAGCAAACATGGCTCTACTTCTAAAGGAAGAAGCTTGTTTCAGCACCTCAAATATAGCATGGATATCTAAGCTAACCCATAATACTTTTTCCAAATTTGTTTTTAAGAAAATCAAAGAAGTCATTCATGCTTACCGTCAGAACTTAGCATCACTCACAAAGAAGCACAACACAACCTGACAAAGATTTTTTTGCTGTGTTTTATAAGAAATCTACATTAAAAGCAATACAGTGTACTGCTTTATAATTTATAATGTGATGTTTGGAAATCCTCCCAAACAAACATTTAGCACAGAAAGGCGGGGAGGGGGGAAAGACCAGAAGCTACCCTCTTTTGACAGGTAGGACTGTTTCCAGACACCAAATCCAGTAGATGAAAATAAAATGGTGTCACTCCAGAAATGATTTACTATGGGATCCTAATTTAATATCCCGAATTTGATCTTAAAGCTAATTATTTTGTCTCCCTCTCCTTTATCCTTTATATCTCTTTAGCAACACCGAACTGCATATAACCAAGGATTGACACCACATCTTATTTATACTCCTAGCCTCAATTCCTAACACAGGGCCTAATATATGTGAAACCCTAACTATATGCTTGTTGAACTTCATATAACTGAACATCAGCTGCCTAGAATCCCTTTTTCTCTATCTTTGCTTTCCAGGTTCAATATTCCCCTCCCCTCCCCGCCCCCCACCCCCTCATTACTCCTTTCCCTGATACATTGGCTTGAATAACTTTTATTTACAGCTATCTCTGATACCATATTCATGTTAGCTTTCATTCCAGACTTCATTTTCTAAAATATCCATATATGAAGCATTTAGTGGAATCAACATATACCCTGTGATAATGATATTATTATTTCTAATTATTTAGGCAGCCAAAACAAGCACGAATTTCACATGAGCAGTATCTTTTAATAATAAGTGGGGCTTTTTCAAGGCATTTCAAGGCATTTGAAAAATCACTCCTATTTGATCATTTTAATATGTAAATCAATTTGGGGAATAAGTATTATGCTTGAAAATACCAAAGTAATCAATAAGTTATTTCATTACCATAGCTCTAGATGTTTGACAAATTTCAAATTTCACTCAGTTTTTTAAAAAAGGCATCTCTGTAAGACGTTGAGCTCTGAGTGGAAAAATATGGGAGTAAGGCCAGCAAGCTATTCATTTCTGAAAATAGCCTTGTAATGGAAAAGTTGACAGACAGTGAAATATGGCCATAAAAACAGTGCAAATAGAAAACAAAGACGAAAAATACAGATTAATGACAAGAACAAAAGAGGAATAAAGAGCAAAATCGAAAGGAAAAGCAGCCTGAGAACCTAGTAGCCCCCTTATAAATAGAAATAACACACAAATCAGCCAGATTGGGCAATGCAGGAAAGGACTAACCGGGGAATCAGGCTGGTAATTATATCTGATGGTTGACATTCCATTAGAGATAAAACCAGTTGTGAAGTGGTGTGATATTATGGTCTAAACATCGAATATTTAGATTTGCTGTTATTATGCAAGAAATGTTTTCTATCAGGGGAGTGAAGGGGGAGTTGTCTCTTGGGAGATACCATCTGTAAGCAGACATATGTATTTTATACTGTGCATTCAAATTTCTCTAAATGTTCAAAACTCATACCCAGAATGTTTACCATAGCAGATAAGTCATGAACTCCCTTGTGATGCATATTATGTCAAAAGCTGCATTTAAACATTTCATAATAACAGGAAAAACGGGAGATTTTCAATTCTGTCACTTTACAATTACTTACTGGAAATCCGCGAGATCCAGGAACACCAGGTTCTCCCTAAAAATAAAAACAGCTTCATTGTACTTAGCTTTTTGTGGCATGAATATGTAAATATGTAAATTGCATAAATTTTGAAATCATTAAAACACTCCATCTTGATGTTTTTAATTTAATTCAACTAAAACACGATTTTAGTTGAACAAGTATATTTCCTCTGTTTCATAACTAATTTTTCAGTTGATTTGCAAACACTATAATGAAATTATACTTCAGCATCTAACTAATACCAGCAATTAATACCAGGTGGCTAACTTACTTTTTGTCCTCTTGGTCCAACAGAACCAGGGGATCCATCAGGTCCTGTTAATCCCTAACAAAGCAAGATGATGTTAGAAATATTATAGCATCCTTAGGCAAAGCCCTAAGTGGATAATTGCATTTTATTTATCAATTATGTACAGAATGGTTATCTTTGTATGATGTAAAAATTTACAAAGAAATACCTTCCTATATTCTTATCAACTGCCTGTTACTTTCTGTTGATAAATTTTATCATATTCCTAACTTCCTGCTAACAGGGTCCAATAATTTTAGTACTTTTTGTCTCCGCTTTGGAAAAATGCGTATAACAATTATAGCATTCTAATAGCCACATCTAATGGGACAACAGATCTGGCTTTGTCAATTACCCATGTTTATGCACCTCCTTTATTTCATTTATAAAATAAAAATACTATATGTCTCTATATCTCTCTAATAGTGTTTTGAGAGTTAATAAAATATTTCTTCAATAGGAATTAAAAATACTCAATCTCATTATTGCTCTATAGCCATCTAAAGCCCTCTGGCCATCTTCCAGCAATAACAATTGCTTACTGAAGAAACTTAACTTTTAAAATAAAATGTTTGAGAGCATGCATGTTTCTACACTATCTGCCTTAGTAAAAATAACTATAATTAAGTATATATTTTCATGTGTGTCACCTAGTATGTAGAATTTAAGCCAATTACTATAAAACACATTTTATATATCATATTTAATACTAAATATGTTATTTAAAGCATATCCTCCAAACATTCTCATTTTCCCTACCAGTACTTTTTTTTACCATCATCCTCAATATAAAATAGATTTTAAAGCATTGATAACACTACATTATACACCTGAATTTCCATATTTGATGAAGATGCATTTTTATTTTTTTAATTTTTTCTTTACTCTTTGACACTTTTAGATATCATTTATAATGCAATATTGAAATTATACCTTGTCAAAGATAAATATGTGTATGAGTATCTATGTATATGTACATATACATATGTGCATGCATATATAAACATTTTACAAAACTATTATCAAGATTTTGAAAAAGACTCAAATGGTACTAATCGAGGGAGGGATTCCTTGCAAGTATGAAAGCCCTACTTAAAAATGCATCACCAAAATCCATATTTAATCTGTCATAGTCTACATATCACTAAAATGCTGTCATATAATTTATACAGAAAACTAGTTCACTGGCCACCATTTTTACATTTCTCTACATCAATCCATTTCCCTTATAACTCCAAAGAGTGAATCAAAGGAAGTAGAAAAAAATGAGTTGAAATGTTAATTACTGGAAATTTACCAAAGAAAATTATTAAACACACATAAATTTCAATTTTTCACAGACTGTCCTTGATTTTTAATCACACTACTCTAAATACAACACTGTAATTTGGGATCAAGCCCCAGCATCTTAGGTCCTAGCACTGGTAGTAATGAAACCTTGGCTTTTGATTTTGGTAAACAAGCCATACATCCAGAGCATTCTCTACAGGCACATACAGCACATAGATTGTACAAACCTGAGAACACATCTGACTAATGGAACCCCTAACTCCCGCTTCATGTATATACCCTCCAAAATCAATCCTGGCCAATTCCCACACATGCAACCAACTAACAATCTTCAATCTGTGACTGAAGTAACTGACGAGATTGGTGAGCAATAGCTACAATGTATGGTAGAATTTCAACAGCATAATAATAAAGCAGAACCAAGTAAATAGTTGGACAACACGGAGGCTGCTTCCACGTCACTTCTTATTTAAAGTACCTTCTATAATACATAATAAATTATGTCTATCACTAGGAAGTTCTTTGAATTAAATTGCTAATACAGGGGTGTCGGGTGGCTCAGTCGGTTAAGCATCTGCCTTCAGCTCAGGTCATGATCCCGGGGCCCTGAGATGGAGTCCCACATCGGGCACCCTGCTCAGCTGGGAGTCTGCTTCTCTCTTCCCTTCTCCCTCTGTGTGTGTGCGCTCTCTCTCTCTAGTTCTCACTCTCTCTCAAGTAAATAAATAAAATATTTTTAAAAAAATAAAAAAATAAACTGCTAATACATTTTGGTGTCAGATGTTACAGTGAACTCTGTTATGAAATAGCTATGTAGAACACCATAAGCTCCATAAGGACAAAGACTGCATGTCCATGATAATCTAGGCACATTGCCCCTGGTGTCTAACACATACTCAATACATGAATACTGAATATTTAGTCTATTAGGTAGAAGGCTATGACACTTATCCCTCTACATCATCTTTATTTGGGGTTCTAATCCCAACTTTGCCACTAATTAGCTGTGCAACCATGACAACCTGCTTAACTGCACAGTGCCTCAGTTTCTTAATCTATAAAATAGGTATAATATTAATATCTACCTGATATGGTAATTTTGAAAATTAAGTGCAATATTACACACAAAATGCTTACAACAGTGCCTGATAGAATGGGCCCTGAATAAATGTTAGCTATTCTTATTATCATCATTATTATATGGTCAGCACTGCTATAGATGTTGTGAAGAGTTCCCCTGAAGTATAAGACATGTTTCCTGCCCTCTGGGAGCTTAAAACCTCATACAGAAGGGGTTCTGCAAACAAACAAATGAACAAACAAATACCTAGATATTAACCATGGGTACTGAATTTTATGGCCCCCTCAGATTTCTTTGATGTCTGACTATTTCCACTCACACTGACCTTTTGGAATAATTTCTTAATAACTCACTATTCTAATCATATAAGCATCTGCCAGGGATAGTAGTTGTATACATCCTGAGGATGTTCTAACCTCTTTCCTGAAACAAGTGGCATGGTTTAACTGTAATGCCTATATTTAATTCTAATTCTGCTTCTGCCTACCTTAGATGGATGCTATAAGAATGAATAAAATACTGTTTTCAGAGCTCACTGAGCATGTCAGCAAATAGTGCCAATAAGAATATCTCTATTGATTATTGATAATAACACAGTTGTCCTTTGCATGCAAGGTTATAACCAAGCTCTGACTTCTTTAATTTTACATATATACATATATATATAATCTCCCACATTTATATTTACACACACACAAATTCCATTTTGCAAGGATTCTTATCTGTCAAAGAATTGACAGAGAAAAATATTACCAGTGGCAGAAAGAATTGCTTTCATATGAATGTTTATGAAGATAAAGTTCTGTATGGGGATGATACTGAAGCTGTGTTCTGAACTTTCATGCTGCTGCGTGGCAGAAAACACCAGCCCTCAATAGTAATTTCCTTCCAACATTCCAACTACTCAGCTCGTGAGACTCAAGGCATAATTCTACAAGCATAGCTGCCATGAATCTTCTACATTTTCTGTCAAAAAACTCACTTCACTTAGGATAATTACCCTTTAAATCATGTTCCGTCCATATTCTTCCAAACATCATCTGATTAACCATTTGTTCACATTACCAAAAAGTATAGCCTTGCAATGAACCAAAGAGCAAAAGACAAAGAGGTTGGAGGTTTAAGGTCCCACCACTACACTGGGGCTCACCTAACAAGAAAAGATCACTGGAGCTCTCCTGCTTACTTAGCTCCCCTATGGCCAGGGACAAACAAACAGCAAACTGATCCAGTTACTGATTTTTCATTATTCATTATTCTCAATGCCTAGTCTCAATGTAAGGTAAAAGATTTGTTTATGAGCCAAAGAATACAGTAAGTCAGAATCTTGTAAGCCCCATGTGGCTTCATGTCAAAATCTGGTGGAACCATACCAATATTTACAAATAATTAGAAAATATCAATTATAAATTATTCCTATGATCCATTTAATGACCCACATCATTTTTCTTGGCTAGGAATTCAGATAATTAAAAATTCACTATCACTCTTTTTCTATTTTCTCTGATTATCCATCTATTTAAGATACTCATTTGTAGCCACATGAGGCAAAACTATCTGGAGAGAAAGCGAGTCTAAAAATGAAGAAATCTAGTTTCTTTCACTATCTTAGCCACTTAATAACTCTGGGTCCCTGGGGAAACTACTTGTCCTCAAAATTATTCAGTGTTCTTATCTCCGGAGAACAATATTAGCCAAACTTGCCTTCCAGGTTATGTAAGGTTAAAGTGACTGCACTTGAGGAAAAAAGTTCTACACAAATGCATATTAGCATAGTTAACTTTTTGCTTAAGTAGAGTTAACTTCTGTTCCAGGAAATGCCTGAAAAACTGGCACATACATAGTTGTCTTACTACGATACTGCAACTATAGACCAAGACAAAAACTCCTTTCATTGTTAACTATATTGTACTTCAAAGATTTTTTAAGCACTTTCATTTGTTTATCCAAAATTTCTGTTGAAATGGGGGAATTACTTTATAAAGCAAAACCAGGTATCGTCTTTATGACCTTACAGTAAAAGGTAAAGAAGAATTTGTAGCACGTTGAGCATGCTACAAAAGCACCATTAAACTGATGCACAGATAACTCTAGCCCTGTATGAAAGTATTTCAACTCAATACCAAGGGAAGACTCCAGGTGATTAGTTTATGCTTCAACCACCACAAAAATTAATAATAATAATAATAATGTAATCATAAATTTTCTTTTCACACAAAAGGCAGATCCAAGTTTCATAGAAATGCAGAAATGAATCCAACCCATATTGGGCTACTGTTTTATAGAGTAGCCTTGGATTTATCAGACCTTTTTATTATGATGTGACAGTTTCAAGTAATTCAGTGTTTCAAAAAGAACTTGAAAACCAACAAGTTATATAATTTCAGTTCGTATTATACAAATATTAGTTTGATACTCAGTTTGTATTATCCAAATATTAGTTCTTGGGGGATTCTTGCACACTCACTTTGCATCACAGAGAAAGTTCAAACTTGGGGCTCTGAACTGTAAAACAAAATCTTTCCTAAAGTACTAAATAGCATAGACAAATACCCTCATAATGGTAATCTTTGTAAAGAAAGCCCATCTTAATAAACACTAAAATCTAGCGGTTTTTTTCTTCAGTATGTAAAAACTATAGTCAAGGATTCTTGGGAATTATAATCATAGGTTTTCAGGTGCTTTCTTTTATTTAGAAAAGTCTTTAGGTTTTGGAAACCACATAAAGTGGTAACTTGAAGGATAACTTGATGAATGCACCACGGCATGTTTTCTGAGAACAGGTAACTTCATTTTACTTCACTTTGTGTCCCAGCTTTAAAGTCAAGGACTGGCCTGCAGTAGGACTTCTGTACCCATTAGTCCAGCACATGGAGACAGGAGAAGCAGAGAGTCCTGAAGTCACTATGCTCTGAGGCAATTTTATTACTGTCAGGTTTTTCCTACAATTCTGCAGGAGCTTTCTTCAATAGAGGGGAGGGAGAGGTGTAAAGGCGGATAAATTGGAGAAAGGATGAGGATTCCCAATTTTCAAGCAACCCTACTCGGCTTATTTCTGTCCGTGATGCCAGTCAAAAAAACATCGAAAGAGGAAAATTAGTTTTGAATTTCCTATTCTTTGTGCGTTGACCATTTCCCTGCCCCTGCCCTCCCCCCCCACACACACATTCCCACTCACTTCGGGCCCTCCCCTCAAAGGTATCTTTCTTATTTCTCTTTTTCAGGATTTAGTACTCTGCCCCTTCCCCTGCCTGCAGGTCCTTTACTAAATTAATCTAGGAAGTGCCTGTGAAAGGGCAGGACCAAAGGCTACTTGCTGCGAAGCCCCACCAAAGCCCCACCAGCGCCGACTAACGTTCCTCTTCCTCCAGTTCCCCCTGTGCCGGAAGTGGGGCTGAGAGTTCAGGCGGTGAGCAAGGAGCGGAGGGTTAGGGGAAGGCACCCGGAAGGCCTAGGGGTTTGCTGAGAGCAGGGAACGCCCGCGCTGTGTGCTCTCCCCAGGGGGCCGCGAGCTATCTCCACCCTCGCAGGACCCTTTGCAGAAACTGCCGCTTCCACACCGCGCGGGGAGTACAAGGCCCAGGTCAGGGCCAGAGCCCTGTTTCAGCGTGGATCCCCGCAGTCTGCACCCATCCAGCAGATCTTCACGTCTCTCCCTCCCGCCCCCGTGCGCGCGCCCGCGCCTACTTACGTCGGCGCCCGGCGTGCCCGGCTTTCCCGGAGCTCCTGGCTTGCCCGGTTCTCCAGCGGGACCCTGAGCAGGGAGGGGGCCAGGTCGGGAGAGAGAACGATGCAAAGTTGAGACTCTTGGAACTCACGTGGCTGCAAACCACGTCTAAAGGAAAGAAGTGAAGAGCGAATGCGCTGATCAACTTACCGGGGGACCCGGGGGACCCTTTGGACCTCGGTCACCCTGCAGGGGTAGTAGAAAAGGCAAGAGCAGTCCATGAGTGGGAGGCGCTGAGGACCCAGCTGGGAGACTTCCACGCGTGTTCACCACACAGCTCGGGGACGGGGACAGGGTAAAGCTAAATGGTGGAGATCCTTGACCAGCGGGGACAACTGAACATGTCTACCTCATCCCCCCGAAAATCCCCAGGCTTCTACAGAGGCTCCAACCCAGCTCTCATCCATGCCCTAGCCCGCCTTTGGATGGCGGGCATCTGGCCCCGTCAAAAACCCATCCCGCTGGAGAAAGGGTAGGAAGCGGTGGGACTGGAGGAACAGGACTGGAGATAGAAACTTACGTCGATGCCATCGATGCCTGGAACTCCAGGGGGACCTGGGGGCCCGGGGGGACCCTGCTGGCCCGGGGGACCTCTCTGACAAAAATAGCACACACGGGTTAATGGAGCACGTTGGGCAACAACAAGAAACTGGCGCGATGTCCTGAGGCCCCCACCTCCACCGGTAAGAACACTTCCCTTTGGGGGACGGAGTCTTGAAATGCAGTAAAACTCCAGTATAAAACTCCCGAGCGACCCCAGGTTTCTTTGGTTCCGCCATATTCTGAATGAGGCTTAATAGTGTGGTTAGAGCAGAATCTAGGCCCCACGGTGGGCACTGGGGTCACACGGCCTCGCCCTACAGAGACCATTAAACCAAAAGGGGTCTTGAAGAAGCGAGGGCCTGACGCCTCTTTTTTTTTAAAGGGACACTTTTTTTAAAAGGACATCAAATCGCTACTTCGATTTGATGAGTAATTGAGAGTCAGTGTTTTGGCTGAAAAGGAACTGCTCAGACTGGAGGCGCTCCACCTCAGATCCAGTACCGGATCGTTTTGTAAATCTTTCTACGTCCAGTAGAAATCAGGGAGAAATACTGGAGGAAAACTGGGGAGGATTGGGGCAAAAGAGCCTTGAAACCCAGGGAGGGCCTGGCTTCATTTCGGATTTACCTGCATTGACACTCTCTTGCATAAGGTCTTTGCACCTCGCTTTAAAACTACACCAAATTTCAGACTGACCCTAGGGTATTACCGCTTTTATCGCTTGCAAACAGTCAAGCTTTGATGGTGCCGGAGGGAATCCTGGCGACTGAAAAATGTGTGAGCAAGTTGCTTAGGGTATGTGGGATTTTTTTTTTCTCTTCTAATTTAGAAGAAGAAAAAGAAAGGGGTAAAAAGATTCTTTCATCAAGGAAACTTTGTTTTTCTAAACTCCAATGACCAGACAGGTTACAATGGGGTCTTTGTAAGTGAAACCTCAAACCGCGTCTGGGCTCACCGCCCCCGCCGGGTCCTCTCCCGCGCGGGAGGAAGGAGACGCCGGAGCCTTCGGGAAACTGCTGAAATTTTGACTGATGCCAGCCAAGGCCGCCGGGTTCCAATCCCAGAGCGGCGGGCACCACTAGCAAGGTTCGCGGTTTAATGCTGCTACCGTGGGCTGGTGGAGCTGCGAGAGTGCTTAGCGCCGCTAGGCTGAATTCCCGCCTTCTCCAGAAGGGCCTGCTCTTGAATGCAACCAGGAGGGGCGGGGTGGGGGAGTTAAGAAGCAACCCGGTAAACCGCCCAAGTTTAGTGACCGGTCCCCAGTCACTAATGGCCTTCAGAGCCTCTGCCTGCAGTGTTGGGGCCCAGGTGGGGGAGGAGACGCCTTTCCCCACCTAAGGGTCATCTAGGGTCCCCGACTCCGATGGTACTCGCTGCAGGTGCTCAAGGCTGGAGGAAGAACGCGGCTGCAGAGCCCAGGGAAAGCTCTGCGCCTTCCCCACAGCTCCCGCGACGGCCGTTCCTCCACTTTTCCCTGCGTGCACTTGAAAAATGCAAGCACTTCTCGCCCTCCGCTTACCTGGTCGGTGGTCTCGCTGGGCTGGAGAAGAAAAGACGGGGAGAAAGTGAGAAGGCTCTCCCCTCTCCCCACACTCGCGCACAACTTACTTGAGCCACGCACAAGCAGAGCCCAGACAGCAGCAGTCGCAGCCCTAGGGCCCCTCGATCCCGCGCGGTCCAGGCCATGCCCGCCACCCTCTGCTAATCCCCTGGACGGACTCTGCCTCCCGCCGCCCCGCTGGGCTTCCCGGACCCGTCACACGCCTGAGGTGGTACTTCTCCCCCGCAAAAAGCGCCCCCGGGAGTAGTTCTTTACAAAGGTGCCCAGCCAGGGAGGCGTACGTTCCTCCTGTTTATGAATGGTCCTGGAGAGGGTCCTAGGGATTGGAGGAGAGCTTGCGGGCTGGAGGACGGATAGAATGACAACAGTCCCCCTTAACCCTTTCCCCGCCGCCACACAGGCAAGGCCTGAAGGTGCACCTCTGCCTCTGCCCATCTGCCCAAGTGTAGTCTCTCGCTGTCCACTGTGGGCGACGAATGGACTGCCAGTGTTCTTGGAGAGATGTTTGGGGGAGGAGGAGTGAGGGTCATAAGCCACCCAAGGTAGAACCAGACACCCTGAGGTGGTTTCTCCTTGCAGGCTGTGGGTGGGACCTGTGCTTCCTTAATATCTATGTGGTCCCTACAGTAAAGCCTGAACTCTTTTTAGAAAAAGAGTGAGGAGGTGGGGAGTTTAAGGAGGTGGTGGGAAGTAGGCTAGGTGGAAATGTAGGTGGTCAAGGGACTCACAGTTACCCGGACTGGCAGCTCATGGCAAGTTTCTCTCCTGGGGCGTAGTGGGTCACAATGGATCAGCATCCACTGAAGTTCAAACTGGAGAAAGACAGCAGACAGTCAATTCAGATTCTGGAGGACAGAAGCAGGTCATTTAAGAGAGAGATAAGTTTGTAAGTGTGGTCCAATTGTTTAGTGACTGGAGACCAATTTGAACTGATTGACCTCAGTGGACCAGTACTCTTGTTCCTTGAATACAGATTTTCCAATGGAAATGGGCTGGAAGCCCTTCCCAAGTTTCTCTGATGATTGAATGTAGATGTCTGTAGCTCTGCAGTATTCCAGCGTAGCCTTCAGCAGGAACTGGCACTGACTTTCCATTTCTGTCCTTCCACATCCTTAAGATGCAGATTCTATTCAAATGAGGCCCTGTGAGAACAAGGAACCGGCCAGGTCACAAGCCAGTGTAAGGGTCTAGATTGGAGCCCAGGCCTACTGAACTTCACAGAGAACAAATGCACTAAGAGTTTACATGGGGGAAGACTAGAGACAGAGACAGCCAAAGAGGTGGCACGTAGGAGGAAAAGGAGAGGAAAGAAAATCCAGTCCTAGAAGAAATTTGCATGCTAGAGAAGACATTCTCCATGGAGTATTCACAGCTTAAAATGGAAATAGGAAGGACTGGAAATGGAGGGAATGAGAGGGAAATCTAGAACTCAGGGAAAAAATAAGAGAATAGAAACCATTTAAATTTATTGTTATCTCATTCATTTGTTGAAGAGATATAAAATTTTCAGACACTTGAAATCCAAATGTACCCTGACAAGTTCTTACATTTTAGCAGATGTTAAGAGAGAAAGAAGGGAACAGGAGAGAAACAATACAACAGAAGAGTGACCAGGTCTGAAGCTGAAGGCCTCAGGTGACAAGATGAGGGGAAAAAAAAAAAAAGGTATACACCACGCAGCACCTCCATTCTGGCCCATCTTCTTAAATTGAGGAAATTCCTTGTTAGTCATCTCAAATCAGATCTGCATTTCTTGGTCAGCTGATTCTTCTGGCATTATGCAAATATCTAATTAAGTATCAAGGTCCCAAATCCAAAACATTATGTCTTTTCTTTCATCCAGTAGTGATTTACACTCCATCCCACCTGCCAAAAGTTCTCTAGATCTGCTGGATCTAGCATTAAGTTAGATCCATTTTTTCCATTTTTATGGAAACACCCAGAGTTGAGGTTACTGAGCAAAAGATCAGACTTGGAGAGGATGAAGGATGAAGTCCTTCCCTTCTACTCATAATGAAGGGAAAGTTAAACAAAAGGAAGTTTTCCATTTTATGAAGGGGTGAAAATAAGACATTAAGCTTTCAGATTCCTGCATTTGTACCTCTTCTTAGATAATTCTAATTCTCCTGGTTGCTCTCAACCCTATCATGGCTCTTCTCCAGAAAATACAGATATCTGGAAAAATGAGGTAAGTGGGGTGAAGAGAAAGTGAACAGCTAAACCAAGATATATTTTAAGATGGAAAGTTCTCTATAAATTGTATGAAAATTGTGTATTCATGGTATGAATTATTTACAATAGTATACTGACATCCTACAGAAGAACTGCTTATTAAGCCACACAATTATCTTACAGTTAAGCATATCACTTTGTCAAATACTTTATCTTTATTAGAGTAGTCTCATTTGCTTGGGAAGGATTTTATTTTGGTTTTGTTGTAAACTGCAATGGAAATTTTAATAGGAAGACAAAAGAAAGAATGGGACAACCTTCTCCTTAATGACTACTAAATACCTAGCTGTGCCTCAAACAATTCTTTGAAGCTGTCCACACATGAGTAAAGTCGGGCAGAGAGGTTAAACCACTCGCCACAGGTCACACAGCTAGTAAAAGACAGAGCTAGCATTCCAAATGTGCCTGATTGTGAAATAAGGGGCTTCTCTACTCCTCTACTTAGCCTCCCCCAAGAATACATCCCATCTCCAGAAAGAGCCATCATGTTCTAAGCCAGTAACCAAGGAATTTGGTGATTGAACATTCGTATTAAAGATGAAGAGAAAAGAAGAGTGATCTAGAAATTAAAACTTTGTAAGCTTACGTCCAACATCTGCTAGAAAACCTAAAAGCAAGACTAAGGAACTTCCCTAAGAAGTCAGACCTCTCCTTGCTTGCATGATTGTTATGCAAATACATCCAGAAGCAAATTTCTAATGCTTCTCCAAAAACTGACAACTATTTCTATATGCAGTTACATATACATGTGTATAATAAAATATCAAATAGGAAAGAGGGTTATAATTCTTGTTCTTCAATGATTAGATAAAAATATTACCAGAATAAGAAAAGGTGTCTCCCCCCTCCCTAATTCTCAAAATAAGAAAGACCGTTCATATATTGTATTCACTAAATCCTTTGTGAATTGGTAATTCATACTAGGCATGCATTGTATATGTTTGATATTTTGATTTTCAGAAAAATTCATAGCCTAATCACCTTGAGAAACTTTAATTATATGGCTAACCAGGAAACCTATATCCTTTGTTTAGATACTTCATTAAAGTTACTTATTGTAAATGCAAAGTAATTCATTAAGCTGTTTTCTGAGAAATGTAATTCTCTCCGGATAAATTGGTACACCTGCTTAAATATGCAAGATGCAATTGTCGCACAGGATAATGGGGGAATGAAATGCAATTCATCTGTGAATACAGGTTGGGTTGTTCAGAGCGCCACATAGATCAAAGGTTTGTGCACACATCTGTGCATCCACATAAACACCGCCTACGCACTAACAATCATCTATACAACAACCATTTTTTGGCTTGCAATATGAATTCCAATTTGCATGTTAATTATTTTGAAGGAAGATTGGCAGAGTTCCTTACTAAAAGTCACTTTCCTTACACATCCAAAATGCTGATTTCCAGACGTTTCTCATCTTCATACCTGGAATCACTGTTCTCTTTGAATATCCACTGACAAAATATATGTGACAAATATTTTAATTTAGTCCTTCAGTTAACATTTTTGAAGTCCTAATGTAAGCCACACACTAGGGAAACATTCTAGGGAAACCAAAGATATTCTCCTCCCCCTAATGAGTTTACAGTTTGTAAGACTTGAGAAAAATACAAGTAGAGAAATAAGAAAGTTTTTTTTTTTAATCAGTTAAACAGAATGTCCTAGCACAATTCATCCTTCTCAACATAAAATACTTCACCATTGTCTCAGGGAGAACTGAGTTGTGTGATTGTAAGGTGCCTTACGTGATCCTGATTTGGCATTATCCAATTCTTTTCTATAGAACATGAAGGTATAATTCCTATCTCCTAAGCCAGAGTAGTGTCCAGCAGACAACACATTGAAACAAGGAATTTTGGCACCAACTTCTACTCTTCTAATAGTGCTAGTGATTTCTACTTATTTTGCTAGGTTGTTGAGAAAAATTAATAAGGTATTTAAGCTCTCCTTAAATTTAGGCAAAAACTAATATTAGACAACTATCTTTTCCTCCTGAGAAAATTCTAATGACAAACTATAGAACTTGGTTCAGTATTACTGAGAATAGCACAAGGCTTGATTTTTTTTGCATACTGAATTATGATTAAATTTTACAATTATAAAATATCTAAAAACTATCTCTTCAAAGACAAGTTTTTTTAACAGGAGAAATGTTTCATTAAGCTTTTGTCTACTCAGTAGCAACAAAGATTTAAAGAAATACTTGAGGGGCGCCTGGGTGGCTCAGTTGGTTAAGCGACTGCTTTCGGCTCAGGTCATGATCCTGGAGTCCCGGGATCAAGTCCCACATCGGGCTTCCTGCTCAGCGGGGAGTCTGCTTCTCCCTCTGACCCTCCTCCCTCTCATGCTCTCTGTCTCTCATTCTCTCTCTCTCAAATAAATAAATAAAATCTTTAAAAAAAAAAAAAGAAATACTTGAACTCTTTTTCTTTTCATTTTATGACAAAGTGTTGGTTTTTACCATCATTTGGGACCTCCTCCAAGTGAAGCTTCCTAGTTGCTAAGCAGGAGGCTCTGAGCTGCCCTGAAATCAGAAATTTCCCCAATTCTCTGTAGACTAGGCCCTGCAGTTTCAGACATAGTGCTAAGAATTGTCATTAAATATGAGTAGGGGACAGTCATCTGAATCATACCAAGGGCAGAGACAAAACAGTGAAAGGAAAGAGCAGTAGACTTAGAGTTAGCAGACCTGGCATATAGTGCTTTGTTCATCTTTTTATCCAGCATATCTTTATATAACACACTCACGCGCTTTGAGATAGAAACTATGGAAGACACAAAAATGTTTAGTACATAGGGCAGCATCTAGGCCACAAACTGCTTTTGACAATATATAGTATTGCCAATGATGTACAACATGGCTAAGGTCATCAGCAAGGGGACCATATAACCTGTAACATGTGAGTGAGGCCCTGAAGAGCAACTGAGATCCTCATAAGCAGAGGTGGGGAGGGTAAAGGTTAGAGTTCTGAAGAGATGATAGTAACACAGCACAAGAGGAGAAAATGATGTATACAGAAGAGATCCGATTCACTGTGGCAAACAGTAGACAATAGATGTTTTTTCCTCTGTTGAATTCTAAGCTAAAGAATTTGAGTAGTATTGGATAACTAATTATTGGACCATCATCAAAGATTTTTCTGCACCAGGGATATGGATGGGGAAAGGTGGCCTAATTTAAAAGGGCACTTCAAGGGGATTCACGTGGTAATAAATGCCTGATCCTTGGAGTCAGAAAGGCTACTTTAGTAGAGCATAAAGGAATGTTACACTCTGAGCTATGATGAGGCATCCTCAGTTATCTACCCATTTAAAAAAAAAAAAATCACCCCCTCAAGCCACATCCCCCTTCAGCTGCCATCTTGTTTTCTGCTCTTCTCCATTTAAAACTCAGAAGAGTTGTCTGTATTTGTTGCCTCCAATTCCTATCCCTTTTATTCTCTCTTGAAGCCTTTCCAACTGGGCTTTCACTCCCAATACTCCAATGGGTCTTTTCTCAAAGCCACTCTCATGGGTTTCTGAATCCAATATCAAGTCTCAGGCCTCATCTAATTTGATCTGTCTACAGCAT